ATAGGCTAGCGCTTTCAACTCGTCTCATCAGGCCATAACCACTTCATGTCCGTTATTCAGTTATCGCCTGATGAGACTCGTACGTGGTATATATATACACACACACACATACATATATACACATATTATATCGCATACATTAAACAGGACTGGAAAAGATCTACAGAGAAAGAAAGGGGACCTTTATGAAGTACTAGTATACTACTTGTATTGTATAGTTTAAAATCAATCAATCAAAAAGAAGAATATTGACAGACAGGGTTATATATTGACAGATAGGGTTATATATAAATTTATTTTTCGATTAGTATTGAAAATTATAATGATACTACGATATGACTACTCGTCATTTTATTTACTTCTCAATCCTTCCTATTATCATATGTTAATACAATATGAATCAAAATATATGTCCATGCATAAATTTTTCTTCAAATTAGGCGCGAGACTCATTCTTATTATTCCAATTACATGTAGGTCATGCATATATATATATATATATATATATATATATATATATATATTAACGGGGTATCGTGGTATTTTTAATGTATTTAACAAAGAAAAACAACAACCTAGATGAAGTGTTTTGGTCCATTGGAGGTAGTTTTCAATGTATTTCATAATCTCTAGTTTAAAAGGACGTATAATTATCCTTTCATTGCCTTGTGTTTCAGTAACTTTGATATCTCGAATTACATTTATATGTTTCAATTACAAAAATATTAAACCTGAAAATACCTTGACCCATACATTGGTTTGTAATCGTCTTGTAAACTTGAAGCAATATATATATATATTTTTCATTCAGATGATATATTTCAAAATTATCAATTTATTCATTCAAATCGAAATAAAGTTTCAAGGCCATATGGTTACGTCTGTTTACAAAATGTCCAGTCGTAATGGAGCTTCCGTGTGACCAGTGGGTTTAAGGACAGATTAAGTGAGAATGATTCAGCAGAAAAATGTAAACAAGACCACCTGAACGGTGTGCGACCACATCGATATCTGAGACGTCCCCGGCTTGAGCCTGCCTTTAGCGATGTTACAGCAGAGATTATTCCTTTCGTGGCTTAAAGTGTGGTTCTCAAGAAAACATAAACAGTTCTGAGATAAGACGAATTCTTCATGTTGGCATATTCCAGTGCACCTGTTGAAGGTGACAACGCAATGTAGTTCTTACGATTTCGGGTGATTTTCTTCACTGCGACAGATACGTAGGAATTCGTCGTTTTTACCATTGATGAAATATTTCAGTCCTAAAGTCAGATGTCGACATTTGAACCACTTTGATTTATGTTTATCTAAACGAATTTTTCAACACCTTTGGGAGAGTACCGTACTTGGTGTGAATGTCCTAACATTTCTTTTCCATTGCATCATGCTAAAGACACGTTTTGTTATGATAAAATACCTTTCTAATCGAACGCCGAAAAAAGCTCCAAAGGCTGAATTCCTGCCTGGAATGATAAATATGTGTCGGTGATTTGCGAATGTGTTAGTTTTATTTCTTTATTGTTTTATTTCGCAAAAGTGCAGTCTGAAATAAAATACTGCGTTTCTGTCTATTGGTGTGTTTTGGTTTTCTTTTACCAGAAAATCTATATTTCATCATGTCGGCCAGAAGAAGGACAAAAATACCTTGCAGGCAATTTTTTGTTTACCATTAATAGATACAAAGATCTATTCTTATCCGCGGAATCTTACATCGAACACAGAGACCCTACTTCCACATTGTTGCGTCTGGGCCTGCAAGTAGACATGTGCTTGGGGTGCTAATGGACGGGCAATGTTTCGGATATCTTAAAACATGGCAATTTCCAATGACTTCCGGTTTGCGGGAATGGGGAAATAGATTATTTTTTCGGTCTATATATGTAGATGTATGTACTTTAAGAACGTGACTCATTTTTACTCTTTGAACCTTTAATGTTTTTCTTTTCTTTTTGTGCATACAATATTGAAGAAAACAAAGCCATTATCAATCTAAACAAAAAATATTGATATGTCTCATTAGATAAGAAGGGTGTTTAATCTGAACAGTTCAGAAATATATGTTAACGAATAACAAGTTTTGATACTTTTACTATCCTTTTGTTCTTCCTCACGACAACACTCTCTTGTCTCGGAAAAAAATCATTTTAGGAGTTTTTCTGTGAAACATGTAACACCCTGTATCTCGTAACCATAGGTCTCCATTTATTTATTGCTTCGAGACTTTTGCTTTGATTTTGTGTAATCAACATTTGTGATTATTATTGACGGTTAATAATAATAATAATAATAATAATAATAATAATAATAATAATAATAATGGGCCAAGTACATTACGCATATTTCCACACCACAAAGGGCATACTCAAAGTGCTACTATTACTCTTACTGGATCAGCTCCCTTGGCAGTATAAAACTCATAAAGGTGATTGTTCGTTTTGTTATGATTACCTCTCCATTCAATACTCCGACACATAGTTTGTAATACTTTATACATCCAAGTGTATGTATCAATACATGTTTGATAGATATAGAAGAAACGGCCAAGTCCACTTAAAACAATACATATAAACTAACATCTAATCTCTGAAATGAACAGAAATAGCTATAAACTATAATAAAAAGGAGCCCAGAGACTGATACTGATACTGCAGTAATCTAGACTTGCCAAACATTATAAACTTGCATGGGCTGTATTGGATACATTTGTTTCGGGGTCTGTATAACAGACTATAATACATACCAAACGGTCCTATATTTTCGAAAAAGCACATTCGATACACCCTCCGGTGTTCGAAACAATACATTCATATCACACTGCTATGTTCGAAACAACACTTTCTAAACACTCTCCTATGTTTGAAACAATACATTGAATACACTTTTTCATTGTCGAAACAGCACATTCTATACAGCCTTCTGTGTTCGAAACAGCCCCTTTCAAGGATTTAGCTTTCGTCTCCTCGACTAATAAAAGTAACAACAAACAGAATTCTTCCACAATCGTCATTCCCAATCCGTCGAAGTTGAAGTTGCAACAATAATCACGCCGTTCACAACATCCCCATCAGCATTCCCTTTGACGTGAGCAATAAGTGCGTTCCTGGATCTATCATTACCGTTTTAAAAAAAACCTCCAAGAGCATTTATACACATACATGGTGCTGACACGTAATCCGCGAAGAGCGTGCTGTCCGAGGCTTGTAATATCGCCTGCAGCAGCTTGCTCCTTACACGATGTGATTGTTGACACTCAGAGCAACCAGTGACGAGAGGAAATGTTAAATTAGCCAACACGGAAGTCAAGTTTAGCGGTTCCCCTACATTCAAAGCTGTTGCGCACTTTATGAGGGATGCTGGAAGTCCAACCGGAGATATAGGTACATATGGTCCTGCGTGGTTTCAATATAGTGGGGAGAACTTGCGGTCCATACATGTAGGGGGCTTGATCTTGATGAGTCAGTGATGTGGGAAATCGGTAATGCGGATATACATATGGTCAACTTCGTGCATATCATCGATGTATGGACTAATATTGGAAAATCTGCGTTCGTTGGTAGTATGTGTGTGAATACGCTTTTTGGGCCGCCTTTTTCCAATGTTCCCCGGGGGATGGTAGGAGTCAGTGTGTGTGTGTGTGTGTATTGGGGGGGGGGGGGGGGGGGGGGGGGGGGGGGGGGGGGGGCGTTAGAGGGATTGAGAAATGGATTCACACATTGTATCCATGTAGGAAATCGGACCTAGTTTTGCCTTTACATGTGTTTGTTTTGACCGCTAGACTACACACCACGGCCACTTCTTAAAATAATTTTTAATACACATGTTTTGTTCGTTTAATGTTTACACGTGTCTTTTACGAATAGATGATTGTTATGATTATAATAGGTACATATACATACTAGTATATTATCCACTGATTAGCTTTGTGCTATGGAAGCATTTTTTTTAGAAATGTTTAGTAGCGCATTCTGGTGAGGCTTACCTGTACTGCAATAAGAATAGCAGTTTCTGATTCAGTGGATTGAACTTAAATGTCAGATGATCAACAATGAAATTTTTTTATCCTATAGATTTTAGATTTTCTTCATATAAATTATGTTCATTCTAAATCAGTATATTCTGGGATATGAATACTTTAATTAGTAAACATCAAACACCCAAGTCAGAGATGACAGACACTAATTCCAAGGTTCAAAATCAAACACTTATTGAAAATGTCATACAAAACAGTTTGTATTTGACTGTATATCGCCAAGTAATCTTGATAACAACCTCGTAATAAAATATCTCATTAATTAGGTAAAACATAAACCTGAAATTCATATCTCTCAATGTTTCATTGAGCATACATTGTATATTTGTAACCAAATAGGTTTTGTCGATATCTCGTAATGATGGAAGAGAAGAAAAAAATATAGACGAAAGAAACTATAAAAATCGTCCACAGTATACATTGGCCACATGCAACATACGTTTTAGGTGCAAGCATTGGTCTATATCAGTCTTACAAGGTCCAGTCACGACGCTGCCTGATCGGAATGCTGAAATTAAATTTCTCGCCATCGACTCACGCTTAAACACAAAACATAATTGAATGCTACAGTTTCCGAACATGGGCTGCTCCCGTCTCTGACGCGAATAGCACAATAAAGCGGCGAATACATGCCATTAATTCACATGACCAGCCCTCAGTCACATACCCCATGGTCACTGCCTACATACTATAGGAAATTCCTCACATATAATCTTGACAGTTGAAACCACGTATCTATTAACACTCCAATTTTATTTCCGATGCGGCAACTTCCATGGCGAGCGAGTCTTGAGTCATTACCTACAGGTGCGAAGACCCGCCGCTCTGTCACCATAGCGAGTAGGCAACGCAGCCCCGATATCTCGCTTTGATTCACAAGACCGTACACGCTCGAGTTCGGGCGGTGCTGATTGGTTGAAAATAATATACGCGTCATGACCCAGCTACATATAAAAGGTCGGAAGGGAATTCCCTGGACAGATTGCACATTGCTTTCGTGCGGTGAGCGGTAAGGATTTTATTACTGGAGCCGGCCAAATTTGTCAAGATGGAATTGATAAAAGATGGACGTTGCGTTGAGGTGGAATTAACTGACACAACAATGACTTATAAAAGTCGAAGGACTAGTTGCACCAGCAGTGTTGAAGAAGTTGGTAAGTCAATAATTATTTATTTTGGGTATTTGATATCGTAAGAGAAACGAATTTGAAAATATTTTGTCACTGTGTGTGCACAACTGTCGTTCACAGATGTAACATTTTTGTATCATTACAAACATTACAATGTCTTTCCAGTGTGCTGTTTCTTCTCATACTGTATTATATGATTTTGCATATATTTGTTGGTGATCTTGAGATAAAAAATGTATGAATGTCATGATTTTTAAAAAATACGAGACATGTATAAGTGCATATATTGGTTCCATATCAACAAATATCAACATATGAAAACGACTTTCCTTGAAACTGTTTACTGAAGTGAGCTATGTCTGAGTAACATGTATTGATGTTTCCTTGAAGACTCCTAGAGCAATACTAAATCATTTATGCTCTGGTAATGACATGGACTTGTCATTGTATACATGTGTGCATTGCACCCACCTCATTGCTTCGTAGTCAATATACACGTCTATGTTTGGAACACATCAAAAGAAACGTTCGACTGCAACTTGTCCGTGTACACACTGACGATAAATATACACATACCTTTGAATTCTGTATATACAAATGTAAACACTAAAAGAAATACGAGCAGGTGATATTTGAAATGTATACTCAATAGAGGGATGGGGTCAATTGTTGAGCAAAGATTTCATTGTCGTAGGAATGAAGAAGATTCCAGTCACAGCACTTTAGTGGCATTGCGTGATTGAGGATAGTCAAGCCTAGTTTAAGAAGGTATGCCTTCATTGCATGTAACGGGATTAATGTTTCTGATATGTTCCGATTATAGATTAAGCTAGCACTGGTTCTTAGCTGATTGTTACAGCCAAATTATGCATACGCCTTTTACGTTTGGGGTTATTTCGTGTGAGTTATTTCTATGGGGTCTGAGATTTCTTCAGCAATATATTTTCGGATACGTTTGAGATGCTGAATTGAGTGAGTGAGTTGAATTTTAGAGTCGCTTCTGTAATGTTGCAGCCTTTGGTGTAAATACTACAGTAAAACATTAGGAATTGATGTCACTTGTTATCGACTTATCATGATGTATTTTGTAGGAATGAAAGGGTGGAAAATAGATCTACAAAGGATTTAATCTTTATTCATACTGAAGGTTGTTGCATAACGAGAATATACATACATACATACATACATACATACATACATACATACATTATTTGTTGTGTTTATCTGATGATGCAAGCAAGGTATCTCTACTGTTCGTATATGCAACTGTGTTTGTGTGTGTGTGTGTGTACAGTGAAACCCTGTTAATCCGGAAACTCGGCTTTGTGGACGATTACTGTGAAGAACGTCTAAATACCATAACAGTACACTACAATAAACCACTATTTCAATAATCCGGAAGATTTCACTGCAAACGACACCGTCCGGTTAAACGAGGTTTCACTGTATGCAGTTTATGTATCTGTGCAAAACTTACAACAGATCTAGAGGATAGAACGGCGAGTAGAGAAAAGATGAAAACACGAGCTGAGGGCAGCGGTTGATACACTGAATGCTCTCTTGCAGATGTAATGACCTTGGACAAGATTCTGTCCCTGAAAATGGAGCCATCGGAGACAAATAACAATGCTGGACACAGGAAGCAGTTTACTGTATGCTTCGCCCGTGACGTGGACAAAACAAACATGAGAGTTGACAAGGCTACGTTCAAAGGCACGGAGAAGATTTGCGACAAAATACTAGCACAGCTAGAGCCGCTGTTGGCAGGTGAGCGGCCTTAGTCAATCTCCTCTTAAAATCAAATTTGGTCATGTGACCAGCATTCTGTGTGAAATAGTCTCCCGAGTTCTTTAGGCAACGTGGGTTTGCAAGATCTGCTCGGATTGACGAGAAGAAGTCACATGTTTGATGACTTAGTTTTTCAGTGTTATCTTACACAAGTGCGCATCAAGGGGCCTGGGGAGGGATTATTCTGCATTCCAGGGCTTGTTAATACAGTTTTGAATTTTTTTACAGAGATAATTCAATTTTATCGACTTTCAAATTTTGAAGTAAATTTCAACCGTGGACCACTCTTAAAAATATCCCTTTATTTAAATCGATTTTTACTGAACCGACTTTGAAATGTTTTATGTTCACTCAGAGAGAACGTTCTTTTTCATCTCCTCGTAAAAATCTTTTTATTTCAAAGTTAAGGAAGACTCTCAGTCTGTGATGTTTCCAGCACAGTGGAACACATCATATGCCACCCATGTCTTTCAACAAGGATTCCTAAAGGTGTCAAATTGCCTTTTCAATACATTTTTTGTCAAAAATGTTCACGACAAAATGTAACGCCTTACATTCTCTTCTCAAAAGGCACGTCGCCTTCCTTCAACTTGTGAATGTATCGACACACAGTCTGAAAGCCTTGCAAGATATTGCATCAACCCGACAACCCGTGCTCATTGCACTGACATACTGGTCTATTTCAAGAGCAATAGCGACTTCTTAATAGCACTGTGTAATACATCTCGTGTACATTTCACTCCTCTGGGTGTCACTGTGCGATTATTTAACTACATGACCAGAATATAGGGTAATGGTTATGATATTGAGTGTCCTAAAGCTGTTTAGGAAATGCGTTCCCTCAGCTTGATGTAGCCTAGTTCATGGTTGAGCATGCCTTTACTATCAATCTACAAAACTCTCAACACACGAGCAACAAAAGCATGTTTTAGTCCTTCATGCGATTAACAGGATGCTGGAGATATTCAAATTCTGAACTAGAGATTAAATGAAAAGGGGATTTGATATAGAATCTTTAAATAAATTGCTAAAGAAGATTTTACATGGCGGCGCCTAAGCTATCAGAATGACAATACACTATTAAGAGCTGTGTTACACATGAATGCGTTCCTATAGTCGCGTGTTGTGTTTCAGCGAAGAGACGACCGAAACAGCTTTTGGTGATAGTGAACCCCAACAGCGGTCGGCGACAAGCAAAGAAAATATTTCACAGGAAGGTCGAACCGTTTTTTCAACTGGTGGGCATCATGTGCAAGGTTATAGGTCAGTCAGTGCTTTAATATTTTTTAATTTTATATGTTCAGTTTAATTTTATGTAATTTGCATTACCATTTGAAAGTTTTTTAAATCATGAATATATTTTTTATATTTTATTTAGTAAGTAGTTACTGAACAAATGGAAAATAAACTACCTGCGAGAGTGGGGGTTAGCAATGACACAGATATTTTGATACAGAATTATTTTTCTTATTTGATACGATTTTGCGTGTAAACAAGATTTCATGCGAAACGAAATACATATAAGTTATGCCATGACGTATCGATGTTATTGGGATCAACTGATTAAGAAAAGCTGACGTTGCAAATAATACAGTCTAACACTCGGTTATGCACGTACTGATTTCACGATTTTTATGAGTATGAAATGTACAATTGTCGATTTCACAATGACATTATGTGTGTAATCACTAGACCCCGTTAACGACAGTAAATGGATGATAAACGACAGACAGTCATCGATTGTGTTAATATCGTATCAGGCAGGTGTATATCATTCTTTATAGTATTTTTGACCTTTTTTTACCAGTCACTCCGCTTAATTGCTTTTTGATGTTAATCAAAGACTGACGTTCTTTGAAGGGGTGTAGTACCTCGATCAATCCATAGGACCATTCACGGACAATGAACATACCAGCCAAGATGGTAGATACGTTTATCTGGAGCAGATTTGATATGTGTGTACTCACGAGCTGTGACTGATACAAACAGGATAGGGATACTTGATACAGAAAGGGCCTGATACTGTCGTTGTATTTGGGTAGATTACTTGGCGATACACACTACGTTCTATTTCATTGCTAATGTTGATATGCAGTGGAATTTGTTTTTTGTATGTTAAAATGTTTGTATAATTAATGAAGATCAATAATTCATCTTTTAGGAATGGTATGATTATTATGTAGTTGAAAAATACCAACGTATGGAATCTTGTCGTGCATGGATTTGTCGAATAACGTGTATCGCGATATGAACCCGCCGTTCTGACGATTGTTTATTAATATTATGCTTTCTGTAAACTATCAACAATGTCGACATATTTTACCGGGATAGTTATGATCGGTTGTGCCGACTTTGATTGATGAAAACATTTCGAGATAGAGAGAGTTGTACTTTGGTCTGAACGCCTGTATTTCGTCATGCAGTACAGGTGAATGCACTAAAGATAGTACAAGGTTAAATGTTAATATGCCGAAAAAATATTACCTTACAGCAAAGATATAAGATATGCGGAAGAGTATAAATAAAACAATAAAACAATGCTTCCGTGAATTAAGTACAATGCAACGGGCGTAGGGGCAAATCCGAGTACATTCCAGCTCGGGCAATTCGTCTCCCTGAGGCGTGCAGCTCTTGCATTGTTAATTACATTATCTGTCGTTTTGATTTCAGTGACCGAGCGACCAAAACAGGCACAAGAGATTCTACAGAGTCATGATTTGACAGACATCGATGGGTAAGTTAAATCCTTTTTTCTTTAGGATTTGACGAAAGTTTCTTCTAACAAGACAATTTGACATATATTACTTATATTAAGTGATGAGAATGACGACATCGTTGCCATGGAAACAAACAGCTGTATGACGTGGCATATGCTCATTTGTGGATACAGAGAGCACAATGTCTTGTAGATTTCACACTTCCTCTGACGAAATTGTTACACGTTCGTTATATATATATATATATATATATATACAAAAATGAGGTAAATGTACACTGGGTGTACATGTAATATATAATAAATTAATAAAGTCCACGTTAGTCCATCATCTTCTTTATAACAGTTTCAGACTGAAACTGATATAAAGAAGATGATGGACTAACGTGGACTTTATTATTTTATTTTATATATATATATTGATTCAAGTTTACAAGACGATTACAAACCAATGTATTGGTCAAAGTATTTTCAGGTTTAATATTTTTGTAATTGAAACATATAAATGTAATTCGAGATATCAAAGTTACTGAAACACAAGGCAATGAACGGATAATTATACGTCCTTTTAAACTAGAGATTATGAAATACATTGAAAACTACCTCCAATGGACCAAAACACTTCATCTAGGTTATTTTTTTTCTTTGTTAAAAACATTAAAAATACCACGATACCCCGTTAATACGAACTGTTTCGAGTGAAATCGTCCGGATAACATATTTCCGGATTAGCGAGAGTCCAAACAGAAACATCGGAATTTGAGGTTTCCGGATTAACGGGACTTCATTGTACATTAAGTTGTACCTAACCTTTAATGCTATATTTACAACATCGACGTTTCTCACGTTGCAGTGTCGTCACTGTCGGCGGAGACGGTCTGTATTGTGAGTGCCTGAGTGGTCTGGTGATGCGCGCCCAGAAAGACGCCGGCATCGACTACAATGACCCGGACGCTGAAGTCGTTCCCAGCCAACTTCCCATTGGCATCATCCCTGCTGGTGAGCATCCCCTATGGACACAATGATCTTATTGGACTTGGCCTTATCCGCATTCCATATATTTGTCATCTAACCTGCAAATGAATAAACCTGATTGTCGAAGAATTCCCAAACGTGCCAAACTAACGTACCAATCCCCGGTATTGTAACTTTCTGAAGCCATTTGTTCAACACAGACAACACGTGCGCTTAAAAACTACATGTTAAAGATGAACAATTTGGTGTTTTAAAAACACATTTTTTTAGGTGTATCACCATACAATTAGATTTACTATTTTTACCACTACGCCCGAATGTAACTAACCATGGCCAGTCGTAAATATATAACGTCAATGCTAGAGATAAGCAGTCTCGATTATTTGCCGACACATATTCCATTTGGGCGTAAAAAGCAATATATCGGTGACAATATATATATATATATGCCCAGGACATGAATCATAATAATAATACACTGTATAATCGGGGCTGGTTTAAAGTTGTAACATACGCCGAATATGTAAGTTTTAGTAATATTATCATCAATAAATCGTGTTCACTGTTGAGCTTGATCTAGTTAACTCTAAGATTAACCGTGTGTATGTTCTGTGCAGGATCCGGTGATTATGTGGTCCAGTATCTCCATGGTACCCGTGACGTCATGACAGCTGCCATCCACATTGCTCTTGGTAAGTACTATCAACATACAGCATATAACAACAATACTGATCTATCAGACACCTGACATACAGGTGAAGAGTATCTGTCTCTATCAGGATGATTATATTCTAAGATAAGTAAACCTTAAGCGGTATTTCCTTAAACCATAAATGCAATGGCGATATGGGCGTGATAGAACATTAGATCTGTTTAGTGTAGCCATGTTTTAATTTTGATTTTATTTGATTTTAGGTAAAAGCGGTCCGGTAAATGCAGTCAGTGTTCACCAAGAACGACAACTCTCGGCATATTCCGGCTTGTTGCTTGGTTTCGGCTTGTTCGGCGACATCATGAACGACTGCGAGAAGTTCCGATGGATGGGATCGTCAAGATTCAACAGTAAGTGTCCCGACTGTCACAACCCTTGTGTTGAAAGTTTATCAATTCCTGATAATGTCATCCTCGATTATCCAGGGTGTTGATCTCCATTCAATTATAATAGGAACCCTGGACCTATTCGCCACCATACTTCCTGTCGGTAGTGACGTCACCATCCCTATCTCTTATTACTAACGTAGCGCTAAATCCCCCCCCCCCCCCCCCCCCCCCACCCCCAGGAGAATAATTTCAATTGACGGCTTCTTTCCATTTGATAATCGGGATCATACTAAAGCTACAGGGGGAATGCATCCAGAGAATTTATCACAATAAAATGATAAAATGGAGATAATCACAACAGAATGCAGATAAAACGTGGATAATCAGGATGATTCATATCTTGTTGTGTACAAAACAACATTGATGCTACAAATCCTCTTTCTCTTCTAGTCATCCCAGTGGGGACGGTGTTGCGTCGTCGTATGTTTGACGTTGAGGTAGAGTACCTCCCTGACGGCGGGTCGGAGTGGGAGCAGACGGAAGGGAAGCTGTATGGGGTGGACACTTACGTCATCACAAGAAAACCAAAGCAGGAGAAGATGGTGCCGTGTTTTGGCGACAACGCCCTCACCCTGTTCCTGACCAGTAAATGCAGTCTGGCCAAACACGTTCAGCAACTGACCAAAGTCCAGGACCACAAGACAGGATGTGTAAGTAGCCCTACACAGTCTTTGTGTCAACACTGCATCGGAAACTTAACTCACGAATCTGCCTGTCTGTCTTTCTATCTTCCCCTCCCATATGCAAACATCTGTATATGCAAACGATCTGTATATTTATTTTCTTCCTTATCTCTCCTATAGACATATGTGTCTAGCTCCTTTCATTGTCTGTTTACATGTCTGCCTTACGATGTGTCTGACTATCAACATGTTTGCCTAACTAACTATGTCTAGGAATACCAGTATGCTTGAATAACTATCAGCCTGCTAGCCCATCTAATTACATTTACCTTTCTGACAATTTGCCCGTTTGTAAAGGTACAGTCACAATCATGTGCTTTTTGTGTCTCAGGGTCTGTCTCTCTTCTCATTCCACACCTGCTCCAATCTAAAATTGATTTGGAAACCCCAAATCTAAGGTTGATTTCCATCAATACCAGTCACCATTCCACCAATATTACACAGCCTTGAACTGAAATTAATATATATCCTTATCTCTTATCCATTACAGTTTGATTACGAGTTCGTAGATCAACACAGAGTTCAAGGTTATAGAGTGACCTTTCCAAGGGCGACTCTGACGTCAACGGAAGACGGGGAGACCACGTTAGCAGAGAAATACTACATCAACTGTGACGGCGAAGTCATTTGTCTGTCAAAACCCCAGTTCGAAGTCAGGTGAGCATCCTGCAATACACGTCTCTTTCTCAAGTTCATAGTTTAATTTTAGTGTGTAATGGGTTTTGACACCTTCAGGGGATTGAAGTAAGCCTGACCTTCGAAATAAATCTTCGGAACTGTCATTACATCTGTCTAAATGGTAGACAAAGGTGTCTGTCGATTTTCCTGTTTTGCCGTGGTAGCATTCAGAAATAATATGACCGACATAATAATGTATGCTCTTAAAATGTCATAGCGAGTGAGTATGTTTTTTACGCCGCTTTTAGCAATATCCCAGCATTATCACAGCGGGGTACAGTAGGAAATGGGCTTCACAAATTGAACCCTTGTGCGGATATCCAAACCCGGATCTTCTCTGGATGACGAGCGAACGCTTTAACCACTAGACTACCATTACCGCCCTTTAAAATATAATAATATGACTACACAAAATACAGTTTATTAGCTTTATATTTATATCAGTATTTTTTTCATCTTGACAGACTCCATCGGAATGCCGTTCCATTATTCGGCAGTGTCCGCGACGCCTTGCAGTGCTGGTAGATGACGTCACTACCGGGATCGGATTACCCGGATGTTGATATTTTGTCAAAGCCGTTGTCTCTCCGCCCGCCACAGGCATTAACATCAAACTGTACAGTGACGGTTCTTTGGGGGATGCAGAAAGTATACCAGAGATTACCACATGACGTCACATTACATGACACCCATACGTCATAAGACGTTTCTTACAGCTTGTGCTGCACGTGCCAATCTCATTTCTCCAAAGAAAAGAATGGAAACTTCAAGATGGCGTGTAGCAACTCGTCTTGAATGTGGGACGGACGTCGATCGGTGCTGTGATTTGGGGATAACTAGCCGAGTTCTGAACGGTGCTGTGATCTGACCTTGTCAATAGACTGACCAAAGGTAGACATTATTGAACAGTATATAGAACACTCTTCATTCAGGTTGTGACCTTGTAGGAGGTATGAGCATTTACCCATGTCCACCCAACACGCCGTTTCTGACAATTACAACCAAGGCAACCCTGCGTGACAGTGGTAAACAGCATTCATTTCAGAACCATAAAAATAACATATTTGACATCCAAATTATTTTTTCTTTGATGTTCTCTTGTCATTATTAATTTTTAATTGATGAAATTTGTTTTTGGTATTAGATATATCAAACCAAAATGATAAAAAAATATGAATATTGGATTTGTCTGGCTGTTAACCACGTAGGTGCCGATGTCAGGACCTCCATGTGGATGGCGTCAATTGAGTGGCGTGAGGCAGGGTGGTACTACTATTGATGTATTGTTGAGTTCCTGACGCCAGCTCAGTTGTAAATAGACCAAGGAGCTGAGCCAACCGGGAAAATACCTGTATTATTGTTGATCTCTTTTTGTTGTTATATTTTGTAATAAAACATATTAAGTTAAAGAAATTATTTGTTGTCAGTACTATTGTAAGGACGTCGACCTTAAGTTCTTTACGTGTTAAAGAACATTGATGTTATAGTTGGAGACGTTTTATATTTACATGTCGACATCCTTGCCATTTGTAAAAAAATCTCTTCGGTTAAAGTGTATCACGATCCAACAATTTAAGACGGGAAACAGGAAACCAAATCCGATAAGAGATCAGTGTTACATACATCAGGGAATTCATCTTCCATCCACGGGGTATACGCCCAGGTTTGCGCTAGCACATTTCAAAGCTTGTAGTCATGGTAACTATTCGTAAGTATATGGGTGTAAAACCTCGAAAATGTTCATAAAACGTCACGAATAAAACCAGAACGACCTAATACAACTTGTGATTAAATATCGTCACATCTTTACGATTATATGAACATATTCCTTATACTACTACCCCATGATGTAAACATCCTTGCAAAAGAAAGTATGCACTTGAAAATTGGATTTGACCGAAAATGTTATCAAAATCTTACTTGACTGAAAACGCTTCGCCGAAACACTGCAACCTTAAGGCCCAAAACAACTATGAAACCCTTATCAAATAAATCGAATAACCATCACGTGTTTGTTTCAATTTTAGTCAACATTAAACATAGGTGTATACTTTCTTTTGCCAGGCTGTTTATATTCTGGATGCAAGAAAATCCAGGGCAAATTAAAACAAGGTCCAACATTTCACAAGAACAGTGACATAATAGTCCGGATATACTGAAGAAGGGTAAAACAAATCGATTCTAGCTTCTAAGATTAAAGATATGATTATCAAAGCTCATGGAAATTTCAATGGATATAAGGAACCGATTTAAAAGTTCCGTTTGTTTATCCGCGTTACCAACAGTGAGGAAGAGAGAAAGAATCCAAAGTGTTTTCCATCTGTTAAACTTTAAAGCGGAACTTTCCATGCACCAGGACTTTGAAACGTCAATAGTATCAATACAGGAGCGGCGATTATCATTCCTTTCCACAACCAATCACGTCATTTGACTGCTTACAACATCCCCAATCAGCTGATCGACTAAAGTACAAATCCTTAATGTGGTGTGTAAACCAACGCGACCCGACAACTAGGCGTGAAACACGGCTGATCTCTCACACCCTCCTTTTTACTTATGCGTACGTACTGACATTCCGCCACTTCATGTCGGCGCATTCTGCTACCAGTCACACCTATATTTACCTGTGTGATTATTCCATAACATGTGGATGAATGGCGGGGATAGGACGTTACATTGACATAACATTGTGAATGTTGTTTCGTGATGAAATTTTCTACATAAGCTGGAGTATATTGGGACGCGGTCTATATCAATTTCATAAATGTAGGTTACTTGGGCACACCCTTACTGAATTATATAATCGATGATTCGTGTTTTGATTGTTGCGGACGGCATGAGTATGCCAGGAGATTATAAGGCAGCCCTTCGAGCTAGAGCCTTGTCAGGTGTGGAAATTCCGACATGGCTTATGACGTAACTATCCTCAAAAATCTGGATCTCATATCATGTAGACAGTGTTATCAGTACATGTCTTTATATGAGTATATGCTGTCTAAAAGGCGGCGTTTACAATAGGCCAGTCTAAGATATTTCGCGAACACTAAGTGTTACCGTCGATAATCGGTATGTCATATTTGATGTTCTTTTTGTGCGAAAACATCAAACGATTAAAAAATATGAGTCCACATAATAAAATTTCTTGTCTCATGTTATATCACGCGTACTTTTTCGTTCGTAAGTTTTTTAACATTACCCATCTTAACGATCGTCAGTGTCGATCGTGATTTTGCATATCTGGAAAGCCTGCCGGGTTTTCAGCCTTGTTTTTTTACTTTTGTTCAATTTTGAATTAGGGTGGCAAAGTTTGGAAATAAAAAAATAAAATTCGACATACCATGTTTGAAACAAGTGATGTGAAACAGTTTTTCACGTGGCCTGAAAATTAATGTCGAGAAAATATGACAAAAAGTAAATCCTCTTATTCTATTACATGTCCGTTTACATAAGAATGCATATATTGCTACCTTCCCCTTTAATCTTTTATCGAATACTTTTCAACTCCACTGCACAATTCTCGAAATATGTAAAATATTTCCTGCACTCAAACGTGGTGCTTCAATGATATTATTCATTGTTTCGCTATGTCGAACCTATGAATTTTACCCTATGATGTATGTATCTATGACCACATGATCCCCGTGCCATGCGTGTGATTCTGATTTGACTATTCTCAGGTGTGCGGACAGGTGTGAAGCGACATGTGGTTCATAAGATAACCTTTGACCTTCTGGTCACGTATGGCGTCTAAAAGGCGGCGTTTACAATAGGCCAGTCTAAGATATTTCGCGAACACTAAGTGTTAACGTCGATAATCGGTATGTCATATTTGATGTTCTTTTTGTGCGAAAACATCAATCGATTAAAAAATATGAGTCCACATAATAAAATTTCTTGTATCATGTTATATCACGCGTACTTTTTCGTTCGTAAGTTTTTTAACATTACCCATCTTAACGATCGTCAGTGTCGATCGTGATTTTGCATATCTGGAAAGCCTGCCGGGTTTTCAGCCTTGTTTTTTTACTTTTGTTCAATTTTGAATTAGGGTGGCAAAGTTTGGAAATAAAAAAATAAAATTCGACATACCATGTTTGAAACAAGTGATGTGAAACAGTTTTTCACGTGGCCTGAAAATTAATGTCGAGAAAATATGACAAAAAGTAAATCCTCTTATTCTATTACATGTCCGTTTACATAAGAATGCATATATTGCTACCTTCCCCTTTAATCTTTTATCGAATACTTTTCAACTCCACTGCACAATTCTCGAAATATGTAAAATATTTCCTGCACTCAAACGTGGTGCTTCAATGATATTATTCATTGTTTCGCTATGTCGAACCTATGAATTTTACCCTATGATGTATCAATGACCACATGATCCCCGTGCCATGCGTGTGATTCTGATTTGACTATTCTCAGGTGTGCGGACAGGTGTGAAGCGACATGTGGTTCATAAGATAACCTTTGACCTTCTGGTCACGTATGGCGTATCTTTACATCGCGGGTAATATCAAACCATGTGAAATATGTCGAGGTCAGCACTACGTTCGTTTTAGGTGGAGATATCTACGTATGTTGTTATCTGGTTATCAGCGTGGATTGCTTGATATGACGGTAGCCTTCACTCACATATGACGTATGTTCAGTGGACTGTTTAAAATTTGGAATGCCCAAATCAACAAACTGAATTCGGCAAAAACGGTTGGAACCCATGAACCATTGTCATGTGAAGTCGGCGTCACCAGGTGTTTATTAATCGGTGGTATTCTTTAGCCGTATAGAAATTCCACGACTGTCCTAATCCTATGTTTTGATGACGACATTTTCAAATCGTGACAAGTACGGTACTATTAGGAAACTGTCAATTGTGGCCTTGAGCCGGCGTGGTTAATATGAGTTTCAAGTGTTCGTAAGGAGGGGATGGGGTGGGAGAAAAACACAGCTCATTAATTAAAAAACTCAAACATTCATCTCCGTGAAAAAAATAAATCTCATCCTCAAAAATGATCTCGACCGCAATATGGCCATCCTCATCAATACAAAGTATTTCGTGAGCAAAGCCATAGTCTTTTACATCGAAACATGAGCATGATAGACACTATTCTTGTATCACTTATCTATTAATAATCATTTCAATCTTTCATTTCAAGAGGCCATATCATGCAAGTCACTGTGTTGTATCCTTGGACTAGGTTACTGACTCCACTTGTCCCACTGTGATATAACAGAAATTGTTGCTGACTGTGATGTGAAATGCACATTATTTGTTTGTTTGTTAACGTCACACTCAGCAATATTCCAGTTGTATGACGGCGGTCTGTAAATAATCGAGTCTGGACCAGACAATCCAGTGGTTGATATCATGAGCATCGATCCACGCAATTGGGATCGATGACATACCAAGTCAGCAAGCCTGACCACCCGATCCCGGTAGTCGCCTCTTACTACATTCATAGTCGCCTTTTATGGCAAGCATGGGTTGCTGAAGACCTTTAAACATCATGTACTCTTACTTGGAAAGAAATACAACATAAACATATTTGTATTGTTAAAAGACATTAATTATATATCAACGTCATTATAAGTTATGCCATGAATGAGAACAATAAAGAAGGTTTTGTGTCCACAGTTTGGAGGATGGGGTCAGTTGTTCAGTATTCGATCAACCATCAAGACTGAAATCAGCACATGAAACTCCCTTTAATCCTTCAGAATGTCACACCTGTTAGAGAGTATTGTGTTAGCCCACCACGGGAATCAATGCACGCCTGAACTCGACCATGAGAAGACGATGTGATAAGACTGATCACAAGAAATGCGATTCGACACCATTCTTCTTAGAGAGCCTGTGCTGACTGATCCTTGTTATAAGGGCGACCTGGTCGTGCTCTAACTTGACGGTCAAGGTGATCCCACACGAGTTCTGTAGGTGATAAGTCTGATGATTGTGTCTTGTGCTTTCTTGTTGAAACAGGCCTGTCCCGTTCTGTTACAGGAACGGTAGAACAACGTGGTATAGAGACTGGTCAATGTAATGTTGTCTAGTGATGTTTCCTTTCAAAATCCTCAGACCTGGATGGCAGGACTAATGGTGCCGCCTTGACAGGGCTGCAGATGCTGCACTGACAGGACTAATGTTGCCGCATCGCAGGACTAATGGTGCCGCCTTGACAGGGCTGCAGATGCTGCCTTGAGAGGGCTACAGATGACGCCTTGAGAGGGCTACAGATGCCACCTTGACAGGCCTAGAGATGCCGCCTTGACAGGTCTACAGATGCCGCCTTGACAGGGCTACAGATTCCGCCTCGAGGGGGCTACAGATGCCGCCTTGACAGGGCTACAGATGCCACCTTGACAGGGCTACAGATTCCGCCTTGAGAGGGCTACAGATGCCGCCTTGACA